ACAACAATATATTAGAAAAAAAATCAGATGTGGATACTTAAAAACTCCAAGAAACTTTTAGAAAATTTGAAATCGAAAAATATTACCGAAATCAATAACATCAAAACGTATTTCTTTTCAACTCTTAATACAACTATTCCCCACGATAAATTAAAATCCAGGCTTTTTGATATCATAGCTGCTTTTTCAATAAAAAAAGAACTCGTAAATTTACTTACCTTGCTATTGGTCATTATTAAAATTATTTTGTTAAAAAACATTCCGATTGTACACACATGCATTCTGAAGTTAATATTAAAAAGATGCTTGAGTTTCTGATTTACAATATCAAAGTACTTTTGGGGGATCAAGTCTTCCAATAAATTTTCAGAATTTTCATTCTTACCAATTGCGCTTAGTTGTTAGCTGACCTACTGTTGTATTCATATGAAGCAAAATCTATCTAAAATCTTATACATCAGAAGAGGAAAACACTTGCTGTGGCCTGCAACTCGACATTTCGACATATCGCCGACATATTATCAATTAACAATAGTTACTTCCATCCATATGTCGACTCGATAAATCCCAGTGAACATGAAATAAATATACCACAGAGTCTGACGACATCTGTTTCATGTTCGGATATTTCACTAGAAAAGACGTTCATGGTAACCTAACAACAAAAGTTTATGATAAACATGGTGACTTCAACTTTTCTATCGTCAATTTCCCATATTTATGTAGCAATATACCATTTTCACCTGCATATTGGGTTTATGTCTCCCAGTTTATTCAGTATACAAAAGCATGCTCTACATAGGATCAATGTCTAAAACGATGCAAGCTATTGACAAACAAGTTGATAAAATACGAATATCAACAGGATCGTTTACAAGTCATCATTTCGCAAGTTCTATGGTTAAAACAATGACTTTGTCAGCAAATACAATCTATCATTAAGTCGTATACTGACTGACGTTTTTCATACTAATTGTTAAGACTTAAGTTTTTCATACTAATTGTTAGGCCATTATTTACAAAGTTAATTATCTACAGATTTTTTCTCGATCATGACAAGGAGCACACTGCGGGTGTGACCGGTTCTCAGGGGATACTTACTTTTCCATGGCACCTTATCCCACCTCCGATGTTTTAGACGTTCGTGTTTGCTCTGCTCCCGATTTGTATTTGTTTCAAAACTTTATGATAAACGTGATGACTTTTACTTTTCAATCGTCAACTTCCCTTACTCATGCAGCGATATACCCTTATCACTGCGTATGGGGTGTATATTTCTCAGTTGATTCAAGAGCATGCTCTACGTATGAACAATTTCTAAAACGAGGTAGGATATTGACAAACAACTTAATAAAACAAGAATATCTACAGTCTCATTTAATCATCATTTCGAATATTCTATGCTCAATACAATGACCTTGTCAGCAATTACAATCTATCATTAAGTCAATTGCTGACTGACGTTTTTCCTACTAATTGTTAGGCCATTATTTACACACTGAATTGTCGACGGAATTTTCCATTATTTCTCGATCATGACAAGAAGCACACGGCGGGTGTGTCCGGTCGGCAGGGGATGTTTACTCCTCCATGGCACTTGAACCCATCTCTGATGTTTTTTGAGGTTTGTGTTCCTGATTTGTATTGTTTTAATGAACTTTGAGCTTGAATACTGTTCGTTATCTTAATATTTCATTTCAATGGATTTCTGAGTTTAATTACTGTTCGTTGTCTCCATTTTGATGAATTTCAACGATTCATTTTATTAAAATGAAACATTTCTTAACCGAAGTTGGATTTTGATTCCTGAATTGTTGAAATGCAAAATAGGAACTCTCGTTGGAAAAAAGCTCGCTAAATACAGGTTTTGATACTTACATCACTCAAGCTAAAAGGAAGGTCATTCAGTAAGTGTTATCCGTTAAAGTACGTCTCAACAAAAATATTATATATGGTATTATCTCTGGTAATCTGAGAATTTTTTTTTTGCTTTTTTGGTTTGATACTGGCGAATACAAGCTAAATTAAAAAATAAAGTGGAAAACTAGAAATTTTGATTAGTATTTTTATGAATTCTTTTCCTACCAATTCTTTTTCTTTGCGTAAAAAAATTAAAATGTGAAGATAATAAACAGTGGTCAATCTCATAAATACAGTAGACAAAACGCCAAAACACAAGAGGTGGAATCAGCTGCAATAAGCATCCCCTGTCAACCGTTCACACCCGCCTTGAGCCATATGTATTGATCAGGTAGATCAAATTGAATGGCAATTCAAAATAATTAATGATAGTATTTAAGCGAAAGTCAATGTTTACAATTCCCTGAAAATCATCTTGAATAACAAGGGGTAGTCAAAATTAAATATCATGTACATTTATCTAGAATATACATATCGCATACAAAAAGGCATATATAGTTGAGCTTTTCTACAGGCAAAGGAAAGAAAACTCTTCAACAGCAAAGAAGTAAGAATTACTGATTCCAGCTATTTTTAAAAAAGTATTAAAATTGTAATCTTACATAAGAAGAAACAATATCATAAATGGTATAAATTATTGTTCTATGAATTTTAATTTTGTTCTTAGAATTACTGTAAATGATCAAAGTCGTATAATACTGCTGGAAAAAAAGCTATGAAGATAAAGATGTTCGAAAATATAAATAAAATTTACTATTTAAAATTTGAAAAATAAGTAAACCTTTTTACGATAATTGAACTAATTTGAAATACAATTTTTTACTTTTCAGGAAATGTTGAACAAGAGGAAAAGCTTATTTGTGGTAAGATGAAAGGTTTAAAAATAGGTTAAGTATGGCTTGATTTTAAAACATGCATTTTTTACCGTTCTGAAAACAATACATGTACAAAGGTATTGTTATCTGAAAACGACTCAAAACTATAATCACAAAATTTGAATTGAATTTGAATTTGAATTGTATTGTTGCCAAAGGTTTGTCCCGGATTTAAATTTGCAATTTTTTCATTTGGATATTTTTCATCAAAATCAGTTACTAGTAGTGTAAAAAAAAGAGGAATTTAAACATTTCACTATAGAGAGTAATTGTAAACATTTCTAATTACAGAATTATTTTTAAAAAGTTTGGGTAATGGGGATCCATATTACATATATTTAAAAGGATAGTTTGGCCATTTCGTATATTCCTGTTCTTCATTTCATTAATGAATAAAATATAAGAATAAACTTTTCTCGTATTTTACGATGCATAGTTACACGAACTTTAAGAAACAGTGTAATCGTTTCTTTTGAACTGTGCACTGATATCATGATGTATGATAATAACTATATTTATGCTTTTAAAAGCCTTTTTTATGATTTCGTATGTTTGTAGTTTTGCAAAATCAGCAATTTAACCACACCACTTTATTTGCTTTCAAATATAAAAATTTCCAATATGCCAGACAAGAATTCGAAATTATAGAAAAAGTTAAGTGTTCATTAAATGCTTATTTAATATAATTATTAATGAAATGCATTTTCTATCATACTATTCAGAAAAGTTTGAGCATTGCGGTTATACCATCATATAAGCAATCGAATGTGAAGGACATATATATTTTTGTTAGAACTTATTCAAGAAATATCAAAGATGGTAATTAATCTAAGTTGTTCACTCTATCGTGATTTTACACAATTTCCAAAGGGTTAGCACTGGAAAACACTATAAGAAAAAATCTATTCTAAACATGATATGTATTATGCAATACTTTTTTTTCGTTTATGAGTAGTAGTACCGGTAGTTATATTAAATAATCGTTTTACATACACATGCATTTATCTGTAGCGAACTTCGCCAAGGGAATTTTTTTAAAATTTTTTTTAAAGAATCGTAGGCCAGAAAACAATTGTAATCTTAGTGTAGAAGAATCTTTTGAACATTTCAGAAACTTGGGTGTCTGTAAAGATTTTACATATACTGATTTTTCGAATACAGAATATTTGACTGCTGTATCTGATAAACTATAAATGATTTAATTGTTGAGGAGGTTTTAGATGCTACAAACTGTTTAAAAAGCAGAAAATCGTCAGGAAAAGATAATTTGATAAATGAGCTTTTTAAATATATGTATGAAGACCTAAGCCCACTTTTAACAAGGATATTTAATTGTTACTTTTGATACAGGTAATATTCCTCTCACATGGTGTGAAGGTGAAATAGTACCTATCCCTAAAATGGCAGACTCAGATGTAACAGATAACTATAGGGGCATAACCCTCATGAGTTGTATGCTAAAAATATTTACAACTTTACTTAAAAAAAGACTGATGAAATAGGCCGAAAGTAACTTTGTTTTAATTGATGCACAGTTTGGATTCAGATCAGGGGTTGGTACTGTAGACGCAATTTTTACACGGCAAAGTATAATTATTGATAAACATCTTTCGAATGGGAAAAAAACTCTACTATTGTTTGGTGGACTACCGTAAGGCATTCGATAGTATATAGAAATTATCTTTTCAAAAAGCTCATAACATTAGGGATCAAGGGTTAAATGTTTAACAGTATATGGTCTCTGTATAAGAATGTTCAGAGTTGTGTGAAACACAAAAACAAAATATTAGTGACTTTTTTAGAGTAGAACAAGATGTCCTTCAGGGAGAAGCACTGTCTATTTTATTACACTTACATCAATTTCGCTTTTATAGTAACTGTCGTGATAACCTTTTCAATAATATATCTATTACTACCTGAAATGTTTGATAAAGCTGATTATCAGTATATTGTTGATTGTTTAAAACTAAAAATGGTTATCTACAGATATTCAAGTTTGATTGATTGATTGATTGATTGATTGATTATATGTTGTTTTATGTCCCGTTCGAGAATTTCAACTCATGTTAACACGTCACCATATACTAGTAAAGGGCTTCAAATTTTGACCTTTACTCGGCACTCGGGGCTATTGAGCAGTTTGAGCAGCAAGGGATCTTTATCGTGCCAACAGCTGCCGTGACATGGGGCCTCGGTCTTATCCGAATGACCCACAGCTTTCACGTCAAAGTGCCGAGTGCTTGGCGGAAGAACAGTGGCTACCTATTTTTAACTGACTTAGGTCAGTCGGTGTTTTACCGACTCAGCGTAAATAATTACGATAAATTAAAAAATCTTCAATAATAGTAATGCACAAAATGTTTTCATTGCTCACTATTTTTAATTTCTGTGTTTATTTATCTCTAATTGTATAAAGTTATATATAAATTTAATTATATTTTGAAAAATCATTTCTCTACATTGGTTTATTTATAAAGAAGCTTCTCCGCAACGGCCAAAAAGCAGTATTATTTGTAAGTGTACTTCAATATTCTTTTATTTTCCAACACTTTGTCTTACAGTATATTTTGAAATCAAAAGCATAAGCAATTACAAAATTCAAACGAACAATCTTTACTTCTTAGCTTATCAAACAAGAGATTTATTCTTTTCTCACAGCAGGTGTTCCCTCTTCCAAAGACAACGTACAAAATAGCGAACCCGAAACTTTCACGCACGAAGAATTGTTAACACACAGTGAATATTATTTCAGATCTATTTAATGTTTCTCATGAATCTGCAAGAAAAAACTTAATATGAATATTATTTATCTATTAAATACACAATGAAAAAATTGATAAATATCCATCAATAATGTGTTGAACATACAGTTTTCCCCTTTTTTGTCAGTGAATATCAACATCTCAAATATCGCAGAGGAAACCAAGCATGTGTCTGATTTGGCTATTGTTCTCCGCAATAATAAAACTCTGGCCCTGATAGGAAAATGGGGAAGTGGGAAGAGAACATTAGCGGTGCAAATAGCCCTAGAAATGGAGAAGGTGTTAAATGATAAATTTAAGTTTAAAGTTATCCATAATTTTGACGAGACGTGTGGGCCCAGTATTTCCGGATTATCCCAACCAACTGTTATAATACTTCCGGATTTGTATAAATTTTGGAGAACTGATCAGCACAGTGAAGACGTTATCAACACTTTAATTCGTATCAGATCAATCACCAAGGATAGAAAGTTGTACATTGTAGCTACATTTACAGAAAACGCATGGGAATCATTTGCAGAATACTTTCCGAATAAGAATGTTGACGATCTTTTTCCACGAAGAATGAGCATCAATCTATCGCCAAAAACATTGTCGGAAATTGGTAGGAAAAATCAAGTTGTTTTGAAGGAGGCAGCAATCAAAGAACTACTTTGCGTAAGAGGTGTTTTGGGAAAGCCTCTTATAACTTTTTTGTTTTGCAAATATCCGGTTTATAGAAATCCACAATTTTTAAGGTTACCACTGTTTTCCATTTTGTCTGAATTGAGACGCATGAGAAATTCATCTGATGACCGCAAGAAATTCCGAGTACTGGAATACACCATGTTACATGGTGGAGAGGTAGAGATAGAGAAACTAGAAAATGATATAGATCATCCTTTGTTTGACGTAATAAACAATGTTGATGATAGGAAAGCATATATCTCGGATTACATTACACAGCTTCTTAACGGATACATGGAGAAAACGAAAAAATCCTATAGAATTCTACACGATGTAATCACAAAGTGTGTATTCCTTGTCGCTGCTGAAAGAGAACCAGAAATAATGTTTAAGGAATGTGATTGTTTTCTTTTATTTGATCGTATTCGTCAGAAATCCAGGATGGAAAAAATATGGGAGAGAGGCAAATTTTCATGTGATGACAATTCATTGACTATGGGCATTCCAACAGAATCATTTCCAATAGTTGTTAAAGCTTTCAAGCACAGAAAAGAAATTATGCCGATGCTAAGGAATGTGAAATTGTTTAATGATATAGATTTTCAAAGAGTGTGGAATAAGATTCAATAAACAGGAATACACTCTTCTCTGCCTATATCGAAACGTTTGAAAAGTTTCTGGATGATTCACTTACTAGCGTATTACGAACTGAAGGGTTGCAGTCCTATCCACAAGAGCATGTAGACCTGAAATTAATTAGCATTTTCTGTAATCATTTCTTCAATACCATACACTCTCCCAAAGAAAAAAATTATATTTTATCAACATCCGCCCCTTACACCCCTTCCGTTCGAAAGCGGGGGGCATACAATGACGGGGTGTCCGTCCTTCCGAAACATGGCTGTCCCTTATCTGCAACTCCTTCTATAGCACTAAATCAATTAAATGAAGCGTTTACTTAATATTTATCATAGTGACATTGTGCACCTTCTATTATACGTTTCGATCGGACACATACGAGGGTTGTCCGAGAAAAACGCGAACATTTTAAATATTTTTCGTTTCACATATATTATAAAGTTAAGAACTGGTATGCACCATAATCAAAATTGTTTACATAATTAACAGAAATTTCAATAAAATATCTCAAGAAATAACATTTCTCTCTCTGATAAATGAATCATTCAAAATAGCTCCCTGCGCAACACAAACGATGTCAAAACGTAGCTTGTGGAGTTTCTGAATTTGTTTAGGAATCGTGCGATTTAAAAATTCTATCGAAGCAGAAATTCGATACTGCATTTGCTTTTCTTTTAGTTACCAAGTTATCCATTTCACACGTACTACAACTAAGATTAAATCAGGGAATTAATTCTTTTAAAAGACAATTTTCCAACCCCGATCATAAACTTAACTGCTCGCATAGTTAATGGCAGTCTCCACGTATGACGTCCAGCTCTAGACTTTTCAGTTTGTCGTCATATTTGTTGATTTACCAAACGCTTCTTCCATCGGATGACAAATCCATCCATCTTTGAACCCCTTTTACTATGTATAAACCTGTGTTCGATACATGGATTTGTGTTGTTCTTTTGTTCCAGCTATTTTCCCGTATTAACAGGAGTCATACCCTGCTCCACAAAGTATTGAGTGATAATTTGGTGCGCCGCATTATCGCCCGACGTCGCCATTTTTGACAATATCTAACTCATAGTGTTTGAACATTTAACGTCATATTTTTGTCATTAATGAAGTCAAAATACTATGTTTTATACATACATTACTATAGGTCGTAAAGTTTCTATGAATGTAATTTTTGTCACATTATATTTCCGTATAACCTTGTAATAAAGAAAACATAGATGGCAATGTTAATTTTAAAAAGTCAAGAAATTGCCGTGCGCCGAACACCGATATTTAACACCCTTTAAATGCTGATTCTAAATGAGCATGACATTCCATCCTTATATTATTTCTTCAAATTGACGAAAATATCATTTCTCAACATTGTGCCAAAAATGAATAATTTTGGTTGGGTAGTTTACGAAATATTTAAAAAGTTCGCGTTTTCCTGAGACAAATCTCGTATTTGGGATTTTACAAAGCAAAAAATGACACTGTCATTTTTTTTTTATAATATTGGGGGTACATTAGCCCATCTCTTATCTGTAACTCCTCCTATACCACTGAATGAAATGTTGAGACTTTCACAGAATCTCTATTGCACACTGCCAACGTGCACCTCCTATTTTACGTTTGGATCGGACAGATATTTGGGAATTCCCACAGCCAATCTACTTTGTCATTATACTCTTGTCGGAGAAGGGTTTTGCTACAGTACCTCTGGTTTAAAACTGTATTGTATGATGACGGTATCTGTGATTTCTAGTAATATGAAGAAAAATTCTTCAAATTCAAGTAAATATTATCATACATGTAAAGACTTTAAGATTTATTTTCAGCATATTGATGTCTGTATGAATTAGACTAAAAAGCATGACTGTAGATGAAGTGATTTGTGGTGAGAAATAAAGTAACGAGGCGTATCTTTGATTTGAATGCATATAAGCGCAGATTATTTGTAACAGCACGAAATTACAAAATGCTGGAAAAGCACAGGCATTTGTTTCTAAGATTAATTTTACCACATAATATTTTATAAATGTTGCTAAAACACGGAACGGATTAATTGATTGATTTATGTTGTTTTACGTCCCATTCGAGAATTTTCACTCACATTGAGGCGTCACTTTTTTTATCTGTAAAGAGCTTCAAATTTAGACCCATACTCGGCAGCCAGGGTCTTTGATCAATGATCATGAGGGTTCTTTATCGTGTCAATGCCTACCGTGACACACGGCCTCGGTTTTTGAGGTCTTATCAGAAAGATCCGTGATTTTCCCTTCTAATGCCGGGCGCTTGGCTACGGAGCAGTCACTCCCTTTGTTTCCGTCTTATGTTTTACGCAGCGAGGCGAACGAAAATCAAACCCGGGTCTCACGATCACGAAGCAAACGCCCTACCACTAGGCTTCCGATTGAAAAAAGAACGGAAAGCGGAACAGAAAATTTGGTCCCAGATTAATCGCTCGACAAATATTTAAATCATACCAGAAACGATATACATTATATGCATTGTTCATATTTAATCAAGGATTAGTTTATTTAGTCATGTTTATTCTTTTGTGAAGACCTGAACTCGGCATAGCACGGGGTACGGAAAACGAAACAGAATAATACAGTTCAAATACATGTTCATTACCAGTGTTGAAGAATGAGTTAACTATACCCGTGAGTGTCGTTGTGGTAAAATATGTACAAGTGGAATAACTTTATTAAAGGCAAGTATTTGATATCGATTTGCCACTTGTACACCAATGTATTTAAATTAACAAGTTTTTGATTGCATCAACAATCCTGTAGTTGCAATTTGCGTGTCTATTTATTTTTTCGATCCTTATTAATAATGCCAGTGGTCATTGTCTCCAATACAAATGTGTACATACAATGTACGCTCTCTCTCTCCTCGCCTATTTCAAATCAGCATTGCCTGTTTTTAAATGATTCGTAATTTCATTTTTTTTTTTTTTTGATTGATAAGGTATTCTTTTTGGACGCTTATTATTAGGCGTTCGAATAGATACTTGGGTTGTGAGTCTAATTAGATGTTGTAAAGCTGCATGTACAATGAGCAATCTCCCTGCTCAAGAATTTGAGTATTTGTACAACTTAAAACTAGTTCACGCAACTGCATGACAGAATAGCTTAATTACGAACGATGAATATTCTTGCTTTCTGGAAAAAAAATGACGTTTTGCACGCTACTGGTATAAATGTCGGCAAAAAACAAATTTTAAACAATATTTCATTGGCTTTCGCATGTATAGGCTAATTATGTGAAAAAAATCATTAATAAATCACAGTGTATCGCTAATTGTATAATTAGATATGAACTATAAAGATAAAGAATGCTGGTTCTTGTCTGATTTAAATCTGGATCAAGTAAAACTTTTGATACAAGATTTTCCGTTTCTGTTCCGTTTTTCGTTCAGCGTTTCAGTAACACTCGTATACGAGAGTCGTTCAATAAGAAATGCAAAAGGTCATCAAAAAAGCACAAAAACAGTTCCTTTTTATATCTAATCCTTCAATGTATTCCCTGTTAACCTTTATACATACCTTAAGTCTATTCCCATAACCAAAATACCTCAGCATATTCTTTTTTGGGGTAACCCAAAAACACTGATGGATAGCACTCCGTACGACAGATCTGAAAAATGTTACAATGACAGATCTAGCAAATACGGAAGATGGCTAGGCTCTCTAAACGTTTCTTCAAAATGTCCTTGACATCTCTATGCCTACATGTATTTGCAGCAGCGTTGAGCTACAAGAAAATGACCAAGGGTACCAGTATTTGAACTTCTCTTACAGAAAACCTGTTCATCTTTTCTCAATACAATTTTATCATAAACGATACCATTGATAGTCCTTTCTTAGAATTGGGTGAAGGTACATGTTTTACTTGTCCTCTCGAATAAAACAGAAAAACCGGTATAAGAACTGTTTGAAGCTATGGCTTCTCTTTGCAGGTTCCTCTCTGGTTCTACATTTTATTATTGACCTTCAATTTGAGCTAAAACAGTTTTATCGTCACCCATCACGCAGGTTTATTATACTCTTTTGTTTAAATAATTCTATTTTAAAAGACCCTTGGCTCATTTAAAGCGTGTTTTCTTGTAGTCATTTGTAAGGAAATGATGCACTCATTTTACAGATTTTTTTAATTCGTTCGTCAGAACTCAATCAACTGTTGTGATGATGAAATGTTTAGTGTTTTAACAAACTCTATTACTGTAAATCTGGCATTTTTCAGAGGTCATGTTGCTCACAGCACAGATAGTTTTTGGTGTGCCTACAGATCTCGATCGACCACTTTTGAATTTTCTAATCAACCTAAAAACCGTATTGTGTGAGAGACTAATCTCTCCACATATTAAAACCCTATCTTCATTTGGGTTTAAAAGGAATTTTTGTAACGAAACGCAGTTTTCATATAAGCCCTCCTTTTCATCTTCTTGCAGAGAACTTTTTAAACAGTTTAAAGCTCAGTGAAGTGGCTATGCTTCCTCTGAAAGTGAATTTCTTTGCGAAGATAATGTATATTTAAAAAAAAACATGCGGTTTTCGGTGATTAGGAGTTTTTTAAATAGAGCCCTTCTGGTGTGAAAAAATAAAATAAACTACTTGTTCATTTATTATGATAAATCCATGTTGCATTACTTATTAAAAAGACCCTCATATGGGGTAAAAAAAAAATGTAACAGAAACCAGTGCCTGCCTGCTCAACACTTATGAAACATGTTTTTCTTTTACTTTATATTCCTGTAATCTGCACCAGTATCTTGGTATACCCTCAACCATATGTTTCTCAATAACAATGCTATGACCAACACAATAATTTTTCCAACTCCTACTAACTTAACTTTTTAAATAACCTTTATTCAAGAACAAGTTTATATTGCATGTCAAATACTTTTACCTTATCAAGTATGAGCTTCTGAAGATTTTTTTGTACAATACACGGTAAAGAAATCAGTTTTATACTTCCATTCTTTGGGACTTTTTGGC